CAAGAGGAGATAAGAGGCCTCGAGATTTGAGAGCACAAGTCTGTCAGTGGAGTGCCATAAATGCACTGCCGATCTAATTCTACTGTTGTATTGGGAACAAGGGAGGGAAAGGGGGGCAGGCTGAGACTTGTAGAGATTGTTTGAGACTTTGATGATACTGCAACTGTACCACGGTGGACAGTTGTGCACATAAATGGAGGTGACGATGAAAGGATTTACTAATCGTTTTGAATTTGACAAGGTCAAAGTGGGTCAGAGGGAGGATATGCATGTAGAAATCTGAGCAAAAGGAATTTGTATAATATAATTGTCCTATAGTAAATTACAGAAAGAAGCGAATACAAGTGAATATGAAAGGTTATAATGGAATGAAGAGAAAGGATTGCAGCTAGCTGCAGTAGTTAAGAGGAGTGAGTGAGCGAGCTGTGGGCTTTGCTTGTTTTATTAATGTGTTAGCTCAGAATGAGAAAGAGAGCGGTTGAATTCCTATTTTTAGTTACATAGTCAAAGCAATGGAGTCCCCACGTAATTAGCTATTATTATTACACCAACTTAATTAATTGCATCCGTTGTCATCCTTGTAAAGAAAACAAGCAGCTAGCTAGCTTAACGCATTGCTTACTCATTTCATTCTTAATTAACTAATAATAATCATAATCATATAATTGGGTTGAGCCACCAAACCCTAATGTCTTTTTTCTGGCTTTTTCATTGCTTGCCTACTCCAAATCACCTGCTGAATTGTTTTCCTGCTTTCGCCCTAGCTACCCTTTATTCATATATTCAGAATAAGCATCAAACTACTTTTACCTTACGTTGGCCATGCAAGTTATCTCTCTTCTTCAAGATCATACGAAACCTGGGGGTAGCTAGCTAGCTAGGAAACTAAATACTTAAGTTTTCTTCTTTTTCTTTAAAATATTTATTTATTTGAGGAACAAGTCCGATCGGGGAGAGAAATTATTTAAATTGTTTTATTTCAACAACAACATAAATTTGGATTGTTAGAAAATAATTAAAGCACTTAAATTCTGTTTGATTGATATTTTTGTTATGAGTTCTTAATTAATTTGTAAAAAAAAATTATCAAATTACAAATATAACGATGATCAAATGAAATCCTAATTATTCACATCATATATACCTAAATATGAGTTGAACAACTAGCGAAGCAGAAGATTGTCAATGTCTATGGTTATAGCTAGGTTCGGCAACAATAGGCGTAGCTTAAGATATAGATGACACAGGTAGCTAGAAAATGACAATTAATGCCTTAATTAATTTGTCTTAAATTGTTTAGACAAAAGTTGTCCCGTGATATATAATGTTGGATTAAAATCATTAATTACATGACGTTTGTATTTACAAATTAATTAAGGTCTTGTTTTATTACCAAGGTATTTGCCACCAATCAGTCGCAAATGATTAATCTTATTCTTACTAAAGAATTAAAATATGATGAAAACATGCATAGACACGTACTTAATGATTGATTAAATAAATATATATAGAATATTCGTGGAATTGGTAGCTGCTAAGATTTAGATATAAAATCATATTAAGATGCTTTTAGCCAAGAGAAGCTGACAAATTAAGATGTTGATAACTAAGGCATACCCGTAAACAATTTCCAAGCATGTCATAATATCTACTCCTACATATAGGATATAGAGCAGAAGGCAACAAGAGAATATAAAAAATAAGGGTAGAGTAAGGGCATTATTTGACTACACTTTATACATATATTTACACCCCGCACCGGACATAGGAAGTATTGCTTATTCTTGGATTAGGTTGGGCTCTCCGATCTCTGTTGGGCCTCTTTGGACCATATTGGCCGAAACCCATTGGGTTGGGTTGGTGAATGCCTTTTTCTAACCTTCTCTTTAACGGACTAGTGAGGTCAGGTCAGAGGCATTAATTAATTCCCAACTCGGACATGCTAGCATGTCATCTTTGATTAATAATATTTCTGGTGGGGGTGCCTCCCACGTATTTTTCTATTTCTAAGGCAATTCATCTCTTAATACATACATACACACACACATATATATATATATATAAACGTATCAACATTACCAAAGATTCCATCCATCATCCCAATTTCCTTGAGTTTTGGGCTGACAAATTAAACAATGAAATCCTTCCCCTTCCTCCTCACACTGGTTGTCTTAATTATATCAGCCTCTGCCTCTGCCTCTTCTCCGCTCTTTAGCACATTGGCAGGGACATCACCTCTTGATAATCTCCTACCCTTCAACTACTACCACCAGAGCTGTCCAACGCTTGAAGAAATTATCAACAAAAAAGTCAAGGAATGGGTTGCAAAGGATTACACTCTTGCCGCTAGCCTCTTGAGGTTGCATTTTCATGACTGCGCTGTCACGGTAAGCCTGCCTGCTAGCTTAATTGTCTTTCATTTTGCATCAATTGATACTCCTACCTACTAGCCTATCATATATGATACATATAGACCTGTCAAGTGTGGATGTGACGTGATTTTATATTCATGCATGCGCATGCTCATTAATGCTCATCAGGGCTGCGATGCTTCCATTCTTTTAAACCACGAGGGAAGTGAGAGGAGAGCCGAGGCCAGCAAAACATTGAGAGGATTTCAAGTGATAGACGACATTAAGGCGGAGGTGGAGAAACTGTACCCAGCAACAGTTTCTTGCGCAGACATTCTGACGGCCGCCACCAGGGATGCCACTGTCTTACTTGGAGGTCCATACTGGATGGTTCACTACGGCAGGAAAGATTCCCGAGTTTCAAATGCAAAAGATGCTGACATGGTGCCTCATGGCCGCGAAAGCATTACCACTCTGATTGAGTTCTTCCAATCTCGGGGTCTGAATGTCATTGATTTGGTTGTTCTCTCAGGTAATTTTGTTAATCATGGTAACTTAATAATTGATATTCTAAATACTAGCTAATTAATATTGCAATATAATTCATAATGTTGGGCTCTAATCAATCAATTAATTTCTTAAATTCTAATAATTAGAATCCCTATATATGTACGTCCAGGAGCACACACCATTGGAAGGACAGCGTGCGATTCAATTCAACACCGGGTGCATGGCTTGAATGGAACTGGCATGCCTACTCCTAATCCACCGATTGATGATCACTATCTGGACTTCTTGCAAAGAAAATGCAGATCATGTGCACCAGACTCAGAGTCTAATTACGTTGATCTTGATGCTACAACCCCAACCACATTTGATGCCCAGTTTTATGCGAATCTTCAGAAGAAGATGGGACTCTTATCCACAGATCAAATGCTATATTCTGATTCAAGGACTAGACCTATCGTTAACACATTAATCCAGGACCCTTCCATTTTCAGAAACCAGTTTTGGGTCTCCATGGTAAAGCTTGGAAATATTCAGGTCCTCTCTGGTCAGAATGAAGGCGAAATTCGAACCAACTGCAGTGTCGTCAACTCTTATTGATTTTTTTCCTGTCTATTCGCTTATCTATTTTTGGTCTTGCCATGTTTTGCTGATAATTCAATTCTCCCTCTTAATTATCAATAATTAATTAATGCTCCTGAGACTCGAGTTTATCAATGTACTATTCTTTTTGCTTTCCTTGTGATATCTATATATATAT